AGAATCTGCCTGCCAATGCACAAGATGAAGAGACACGGGTTCTATCCCTGGGTCAGGACGATCCCCTGGAAAAGGAAATGGCAACCCACTCCAGTGTTCTTGCCTGGAAAATTCCACAGACAGAGAAGCCTGGCGGGCTACAGTCCATGGGGTCTCAGAGTCAGACACGATTGAACACACACATGTATTTTAATTTTTTTGGCCACACGATGGGGCATGCCGGCTCTTAGTTCCTCCACTAAGGATCCAAGCCATGCCCCCTGCAGTCATAACCACTGGACCACCAGGGAATTCTCCAGCATCATCTCTTAAAGGTCAACATTCACAAACTATACTCCACAACCCCACTCCTACGTATAAACTCCAAAGAAATTTTTACACAACTGTGCCACATATATGATAATATTCTGAGCAGCTTATGTTAGGAACAGCAAAAGCAAACAAGCCTGGAACAGCCCAAACGCTCACTGGTGGAAGAATGGATAAATTATGGTATATTCACAAAATGAAATATTATACAAGAAAAAATGAGTAAAATATACAACATGAATGAACCATGAAGGTGTAATACTGAATGGAGACAAACCAACAGAAGGCTGTGTTGCCATAAAACAATAAAGCAGTGGCTGACAGCACAGATCAGAAGCCAACAATCTGAGTTCAAACCCCGGCTGGGCCATTCACTAGTGACAAGATTATTAAGCTCTCTGTAGTTCATTTGTTCTCATCTGTGAAACAGGGAAAATAATAATGCAACTGTCATGAGGATATAATTATGTATGTAAAGCACTTAGAACAATGTAAAAAAAGTGAATTAAACATGGTTTTAAACTATATTTTTAAAAAGCAACAGAATGATAGATATAAAATTAAAGAGCAGTTTACCTTTAGAAGGGAGGTAGGTGGTGGGATGGGGAAACACTCCTAAGTACATGTAATTTACAGGCAATGCTTCTGGTTCTTAAGCCGGCAGACAGGTTTACAGGGGTGCCTCTTTGTAGCGACTGTCTTTACTTCTGGCCGTGCTGGGTCTCTGCCGCTGCCAGGGCCTCTCCGGCTGCGGCGAGCGGGCTCTGCGCTCGAGCCCCGGCAGCGCGCGAGCTCTCATCCCTCCTGCGGTGGAGCGCAGGCTCCAGGGTGTGTGGACTTAAGGAGCTGCAGCTCGTGGGCTCAAGAGCACAGGCTTAGTGGTTGTGGCACATGGGATCTTCCTGGGTTAGGGATCAAACCCACGTCTCCGGGGAAGCCCGCAGGTGTTCCTCTCATTATTGTGCTCCATCAGTTTCAGTTCAGTCGCTCAGTCGTGTCTGACTCTCTGCGACCCCACGGACCACAGCACGCCAGGCTCCCCGGTCCATCACCAACTCCCAGAGCCTACTCAAACTCATGTCCATCGCATCAGCGATGCCATCCAATCATCTCATCCTCTGCATCCCCTTCTCCTCCCGCCTTCAATCTTTCCCAGCATCAGGGTCTTTTCCAATGAGTCATTTCTTTGCATCAGGTGGCCAAAGTACTGGAGTTTAAGCTTCAACATCAGTCCTTCCAATGAAAATTCAGGACTGATTTCCTTTAGGATGGACCAGTTGGATCTTCTTGCAGTCCAAGAGACTCTCAAGAGTCTTCCCCAACACCACAGTTCAAAAGCATCAGTTTGGTGCTCAGCTTTCTTTAGAGTTCAACTTTCATATCTGTACATGATATGCTTTATAGTTACATGTAATCTTTTGTGTTATTAAATAATATATTAAAGATAATAAAAGAGAAGTAATGGAAGGAAATAAACTGGAGACAGCTAGTATATATAATGCTTAGAATAACAGTCTATTTACATAGATCCTAGCACATTCTGGAGCTATTTAATGAATGTGAGTCAATGAACAAACAAACAGTAAGGCCATTCCAAAAGGAAGGAACAACAGCAACAAAGTACTAGAAGCTGATACTACATGGAGCACAAAGACAAGAGAATCAGAGGACATGAGGGACTGTGAACACACACACATGTCTGGAAAGTGTCAAGTAACTCATCACGAACCTTTTTTCCTTTTGGCTTCTTATCTCCCATCTTTGAGAAAATTCTCCCCACACTACCACCCTCTTCCAGCCTGTATCTCATTCTCTGCTCCCCGTCTTTTCAAAATAGCAACTCTGGGCTTCTCTGGTGGCCCAGTGGCTAAGACTCCACGCTCCCAATGCAGGGGGCTCGGGTTTGATCCCGAGCCAGGGAACTAGATCCTACATTTCAGAACTAAGACCCAGCACAACCAAATAAAAAAATATAAATATTAAAAAATAAAAATAACTTTATTAAGATGTAATTTACATACCATGTAATTAACCCATTTAAAACATAATTTCAATGGTATTTGGATCACTATAATCAATTTTAGAACATTTTCATTACTCCAAAATGAAACCCAATACCCACTGCTGCTGCGAAGTCACTTCAGTAGTGTCCGACTCTGTGCAACCCCATAGACAGCAGCCCACCAGGCTCCCGTCCCTGGGATTCTCCAGGCAAGAGTAATGGAGTGGGTTTCCATTTCCTTCTCCAGTGCATGAAAAGGGAAAAGTGAAAGTGAAGTCGCTCAGTCGTGTCCGACTCTTCACGACCCCATGGACTGCAGCCTACCAGGCTCCTCCGCCCACGGGATTTTCCAGGCAAGAGTACTGGAGTGGGTTGCCATTGCCTTCTCCCAATGCCCATTACCAGTCACTTTTCTTTCCCTCCGAACTCTCCTACTCCATCTCTAGGCAACTGCTAATCTCCTTTCTAACTCCCTGGATTTGCCTATTTTGGACACTTCATATAAATGGAAGCATCGAATACAGCTGATCCTTGAACAACACAGATTTTAACTGCACGGGTCCACTTATGTGTGGATTTTCTGCAACTGGTTTACTCTAAGGATGCAGAACTATGGATATGGAGGAGCCATGGATACGAAGGATCAAATATAGCTTATATGTGGATTTTCAACTGCACAGGGCTGGTGTTACAAGCCCTGCGATGTTCAAGGGTCCAAATGTATGTGGTCTTTCGTGACTGGCTTCTTTCACTAACAAAATTTTTTCAAGGTTCATCCATTTTGTAGACTGTATCAGTACCCTATTACTTTTTCTTTTTTTTTTTGGCCACATCACACAGCAGGTAGGATCTTAGTTCCCCAAGCAGAGATCAAACCCATGCCCTCTGTCCTAACCAGTGGACTTCCAGGGAAGTCCCAGTACTCTTACTGCTTTTTAATCACTGAATAAAATCCAAAATTCCATTGTATGGGTAAACAGAGTATTTTACTTATCCATGCATCAGTTGATGGATATATGGATTGTTTCCACTTTTTGGCTATAATGAATAGTGTTGTTATGAACACTGATGCACAGGCTTTTTGTGTGGACATCATGTTTTAATTTCCCTTGGGTATATACCTAGGAACGTGTTTAACCTTTTAAGGAACTGCCAAAATGTTTTTTAAAGCAGCTGCACCGTTTTACATTCCTATCAGCAGGTTATAAGGGTACAATTACACCACGCTATTATCTGTGTTTTTGACTACAACCATCCTCGTGGGTGTGAAGTGGTATCTCACTGTGGTTTTGACTTCCTTGTTGGCTAATGATGCTGGACATCTTTTCATGGCTATTTGTAGATCTTCTTTGATGAAATATCTATTCAGACATCTTGCCTGTTTTTAAATTTTTTTCCTGCACTTTCATCTTAATCAAAATTCTTAAAAGATCAGTCTACATTTACCATCTATACTTCCTTACTTTCATTCACTCAACAGCCCAGTCCCAGCCTGCTTTTACTCCCCAATCTGACCTTGCTTGTTAAAGTCACCAACCACCTCTCCACTGATAAAGTTATGACTCTTCATCATTCTTCATCTTCCAGGATTAAGTCTACGGTTTGCGCATCTGCATTTTAATTCTAGCTGACTTTTTTTTGGCCGCACTGCACACGCACGGCATGTGGGATCTTAGTTCTCTCACCAGGGTCTGAAGCTGGTGCCCCTGCACTGGAGATGACAACCTTAACCACTGGTCCACAGGGAAAGTCCCTGACTTCTTATTCTGATTTATATTTTCTCCTGTCTTGTTTCTTCTCTATATTTTTCTGTCTTACAGCATATTTTCTTAGGAGATTAGAAATGCATACCAACAACCAAAGAGTATTGCCAGAGAACTGCAGATAACACAGCTGGTTCAAGCAGAGTCGGCGTAATGAAAGCATGCAGGGGAGGTGGGGAGGAGAAGGAAACCAGTGGGCACGGGCCTAAGGATCTGGACTTGGTTTGGCAGGTAATATATACCCATCCAGCAACGCAGGAGACCCAGGTTGGATCCCTGGGTCACGAGGATCCCCTGGAGAAGGAAATGGCAACCCACTCCAGTGTTCTTGCCTGGAGAATCCCATGGATGGACAAGCCTGGCAGGCTACACCCCATGGGTCAGGAGAGTCAGACATGACCCAGCAACGAACACACATACACCCATCAAAGGTTTCTAGACAAGAAATGCTCAGCACTATACTGTTGGAATGTTGGAAGATTATTCTGGTAACAGGTATAAAATTACTTGGGGACAAGGGGTAGGGAGTGAAGAAACAGGAGACCCTGCGGGGTGTTTACTACTGTGGTGATAAGGGCCTACGTTAGTGTGAAGTGAAGTGGCTCAGTCGTGTCCAGCTCTTTGCGATCCCGTGGACCGTAGTCCGCCGGCTCCTCTGCCCATGGGGATTCTCCAGGCAAGAGTACTGGAGTGGGGTGTCATTTCCTTCTCCAGGGGATCTTCCCAACCCAGGGATCGAAGCCCGGTCTCCCGCATCGCAGGCCGACGCTTTACCCTCTGAGCCACAGGGGAAGCCTAAGTTAGCAGAGTAGAGCTAAAAAAGGGGGAGTCAATGGAGAGACATTACCAGTAAACTGTAAGCAACTGAGTTCACTTTATTACTGATAACACAACTATTAGCTGCCAGTGGTCATGAGATGTTGGACTTTAAAAGTTCCACCAGGGTCTACGCCAGCCTTTCAAGATGCCGAAGGGAAAGAAGGCCAAGGGGAAGAAGGTGGCCCCGGCCCCGGCCGTGGTGAAGAAGCAGGAGGCCAAGAAGGTGGTAAACCCCCTGTTCGAGAAGAGGCCCAAGAATTTTGGCATTGGACAGGACATCCAACCCAAGAGGGACCTCACCCGCTTTGTCAAATGGCCCCGCTACATCCGGCTGCAGCGGCAAAGGGCTATTCTCTATAAGCGGCTGAAAGTGCCTCCTGCAATTAATCAATTCACCCAGGCCTTGGACCGACAAACAGCTACTCAACTGCTTAAGCTGGCCCACAAGTACAGACCAGAGACAAAGCAGGAGAAGAAGCAGAGGCTGCTGGCCCGCGCTGAGAAGAAAGCCGCCGGCAAAGGCGACGTCCCCACCAAGAGGCCACCTGTCCTTAGAGCAGGTAAAAAAAAAAAAAAAAAAAAAGTTCCACCAGGGAATTCTCTGGCAGTCCCCTGGTTAGGACTCCGAGCTTCTACTGCAAGGGGCACAGGTTCAATCCTTGGTGGGGGAAACTAGGATCCCACACGCCACACAGTGTGGCCAAAAAATAAAATTAAAAAATGAAAGTTCTACTGAATTTGATTTGACGGAAACTCGATGAAAATGCAGCAGACACACTGAAATCCCCTCTCTCCCTGTTAGAAGTATAAACAAGCCTAGTGTCACTTCCCACTGTCTGCTCTCCTGAGTAAACTCTTCCAAAAACTTCAGGTGACTCAAACTTCTCAAAGAGTGAAAGTCTGGCAATGCCTACCAGCCACTTCTACTCATCACTGCCTCTGCTCCTCCACCCCACCCCACTCCCTGCAACTCCCCACCCCAATATGGCCTTCAATAGGTTAAGATCAAGAAGAAATAGAAATTTATGCAAAATAGGTCAGGGAAGGCAAACTGTCCCAAGTTAAACAAAGTCTCTTTTCTTTTTTTCCAAAGGGAATGGTTGTCGATGCTCTGAGGAGTTAACTTATAATAACACATGCCAAGAGGATGATGTCAGGGAAGGCGTGGTTAGGCTCTTTACGAGTCTGAAATTCCTTTACTCACAAACACTTCCTCTTTCAGACTCACCTATACACAAATCTTTCAGAAGCTGAAGGAAGTGCTGAGACCTTAGAACTCTGATCTTTTCACCTTTAGTCTTTTCTTTTTTTCTTTAAGAACTAAGAATAATTAAGATAGATTTTTTTTTAATACCATCATTTTTCAGAACGTCTCTTTGAAATTCACATTTTCTCCTTTCTGTGATTTAGAATTCTCCAGGTAAGGATACTGGAGTGGGTTGCCATTTCCTTCTCCAGGGGATCTTCCTGACCCAGGGATCGAACCAGTGTCTCCTGAACTGGCAGGCAGACACTTCGCCACTGAGCCACCAGGGAAGCCCTTGTGATTATTTAATTCCATGAAAGAGAATGGATATTCAACACTACGTCCTGAGAAAGAATGTCATGCCTTTATCAGGCATTATACATTTGGTGATTGTATACCCATATTTACAACAGCCAAGAAAGAATAAGAAAACTGTAATTGTCCTTGGCTCCTCAGGAAACAACTTCTCTGATAAAATATACAAGTATGTTTCAAAATAAAACAATCCTCTTTTTTTTTTTTTTTTTTGCCGAATTGCAGGACTTACAGGATTTGAGTTCCCTGACCAGGGTCTGAACCCTGGCCACGGCAGTAAGCGCACTGAGTGCTCACCACTGCACTGCCAGGAAAGTCCCCAACAATTCCACTTTTAAAGACATTAAATAAAAATTAATGAAGCTACAAAAGTGCTGCACAAATAAATCTTTTCAAACTGAGCTCACTCAAGAAATTATTTTTATTCCACTAACCCGAAGTGACAACTACAGTAAATTATGATATAAAAATTCTCCTTAAAGAAAACGGATCTCTACAAATCTGTTTACTTACAGATTTTGGTACAACAAAATGATGGAAAAGAAAAGCAGGTATTTATAATGTGTACCTTTTCAGAAATTTAGAATTTTATTTCAGTTTTTTAAATGTTCCAGAGATCTCCAAAACTTTTTACGTAGACTTGTCCTACCTGACAAACTTAGCTATTAATAGAAATGGCAAGTAAGCGGTTGTCAAAATTAAAACTTGTCATTGAAAAAAGTCTGGCAGAATAGACAAAGCAAGCTGCTACTAATTACTTCCCTTAACGGGTGGGATTTAGGTGAGTGACTTCAGGACATGAAGGGAAGATTTTTTGTTTTATAAACCTCTTGATGCTTAAATTTTAAAAATAAATATGTCTTATGTTTATTACTAAAAACTAACAACTTATTTCAAAAACTAACCTTCGGTATAAAACAGCCAAATTACATGATCACATTCACTCGAAACATTCTTCTCAAAAAATGAACACATTGAGCTGTACATACCAACAAAAAGACAAACAGTAACACAGTCATCACTTCATTTAAATAAGCCCAATACCTACAAACCTATATATATACACAACGCGTCATAGTCACAAAGTGATGTCATCATGACACTGACCTGTAAGACCCAGAAAACATTAGATAAATACCCTAATTACGGATCTACCGCATCCCAGGTTTCTTAATGCGCTTCTCAAACCTTACAAGTTATCAGAAAGAGAGATGATATTTGAATCCCAGTCCACAATAATAACCCTCGCCCCTACACCAGTGATCCCCAACCTTTTTGGCACCAGGGCCTGGTTTTGTGGAAGACAATTTTTCCACAGATTGGAGAGGGATGGTTTTCCGATGCTTCAGGAGCATTACATTCATTGTGCAGTTTATTTCTATTACTCTTGCATCAGCTCCACCTCAGGACATCAGACATTAGATCCCAGAGGTTAGGGACCCCTGCCCTACAATATCCTAGATTTAGAGGCTGGTTAAATGTCTCCTATACAACAAGGGGAAAAGGAAGTACAGAGCCAAGAAACAAGAATATTTTAGATAGCATCAAATCCATGGGTACTAATAGGAAAAAACCAATTTCTGGAATTCATTTTATTGTATTTTAATGGGTAATCTGAGAGACCTGGAGGGAAAAAATTAGGAAGGAAAACTTTTATACAGTACTACACAGGGAATAAAGACAGATGAGCTATCCCTCTGTCAAAATCCTATTGATTTATGTGTGTATGTAAAATTGGTAACACAAGAACCCATATTTCTTAAGGACATAATAGAGTGTGTGTGTGTCAGCCGCTCAGTCGTGTCCGATGCTTTGCCACCCAATGGACTGCAGCCCAGCAGGCTCCCCTGTCCATGGGATTCTCCAGGCAAGAACACTGGAGTGGGTTGCCATCCCCTTCTCCAGGGGGTCTTCCCGATCCAAGGATCAAACTCTGGTCTCCTGCACTGCGGGCAGATCCTTTACTGTCTGAGCGCCGGGGAAGCAATGACAGAAAGAATGCCATATAAACTGACACCAGGTGTTTCCGTTCCAAACATGTACCCAGCGCCTTCATCAGATACTTTGTTCACCTGTAACAGTCTCCTTAGGTGTATAAGAAAGTATCAAGAACCCCTTCCCACACCCCAACAATCCATCAAATGAGCAAAGTATCCTAAAATATACATGGCACCTTTTTTCTACAAAGAACAGCTAGAAAATCAAGACGGAGGTAAAGGTTCTCTCTGCTTCAGCATAAAGTCCCTCCTCATCAGCACTGCGTGCACTGAAATGCCAAGAAAATCCCGGGATACTCCTTGGCAACTGTGGGCACCACTGTGTACTTCTCCCCAGACTGCCCCTGTGCCCAAGCATCGCACAACTCTCTGGCAGCTGTGGGTTAATCACAAAGACTTCAAAGCTCCCTGCTGAGCCTGGCGACCTCAGAGCAGGAGGCCCCAGCTGAGGAGCAGACCCCAAAGAAGCCCAGAACTTGCTGCCTTGATTCGCAAGGTCTTCTCTTAAAAACTGCTTGCCTGCAGGCTGGGTGGAGGAGGGTCTCCATCTAAGCGCCAAGAGTAGACTCAGTGCCCAGATGAAGCTGTGATTTCACTGACTGTATTCAAGCTACCTGATAACGCTGATGGAATGGTAGGAAGGAAGGTGGGCTGGAGGAGAAGGCAGTTAATCAAAACAACGAAATAACCTTGGAGTGAGCAGGCTGGGGGCCAGGGTTCGAGGTGACATATTTTCCCTGTGAAAACTGGATACATCAGCAGGAAGTCAAACTAACTTCACAAAGCTCCGAACTTCCAAAGCTTGATTTGTTTTTAATTCCACTGCCTTCTCAGGCCTCAGGTAAGGGACTGTAAATTCCTGGAACTTCAGAACCAGGTAAGAAAAGATGAAAAAAAAAAAAAGTGGTGGAAAAAGAGAGGAGCTGAGAGTGGAGGAAGCCTGTTCCCCTCTTAAGGAGAATGTTAAAGCCAAGGGCACTCCCCGATCCCCAGAAAAGGAAGTAGCTGAATTCCAAAAAAGCACTTTTCCCTACCTTCTTGTTGTTCTTGTTATAGCCAAAAGTCGAAATCCCAGGCCTGGACGCCACTGATAGCAGCATTTTCTCTTTAATGTCAGGAAGCTAAGAGAGAAAGAGGGAGAGGGAAAGGGAGAGGAAAGAAGGGAGAGAAGGAGGGAGGGAGGGAGGAAGAGAAGGGAGAGGGAGAAGGGAGGAGGGGGGAGTGAAGAATGAGCCAGGGCTGCTTGTTCACGTCACTGATAGAAGTTAACCCCAGTCTGAGTGAGGCTCTTCCACTGGGTCCTAATGCCCAAGATGTTATTTTTTAATTTTTCATAGGCTGAGCAGTTAGACCAAAAAGAAGTTTGTAGGTCTACCTCTTTCAACTCTATCCCCTTCCCTATTTATTTTGTACAAGTTCAGATTCTCATGGAAAAAAAGAGGACATTTTCTCCTTAGATCTCAGCTGTAGGATTCCAAGCTTGATTTTAAAGGGACACTGCCTGGACAACATGTGAAGAAGACAAGCTCAGCGCCCCCGCCCCCCATCCCCCTTTGTATTTACAGCGAGCTTAACACACAGAACAACAAACAAAAAGCTCACCTAAGAGCAGAGACAAGCAAAACAGAGGATGGGAAATAACTAGTTTCAGACCTTCGGACAGTTTTGTTCCTCTTGGGTCACGCTAATGGGCTGATGCTTCTTAATCCTTTCAGATTCCCCCAGGTGTGACTTCAAAAAGGATTTTTCAAACTGGACTATGTCATGAAACTTGATGCTTACTGCTTTCTTTATTCTTTTCCCCAGCTTTACTGAGACATAATTGCCTGGTGATTTCTTTGACAATTGTTAGCTACCTTATATGAATCTTCATCCCACTATTCCGAGCTTCAAGGTCCATGAAACTGAAACGATTACTCACCCAATCTGAAGTTTATGCCCGAGCTGAAGTTCACAGAGTTGGGATGCTTGCTTCAAGCTGTCTCTAAACTGCAGAAAAATAAATAAATAAATATTTTAAATAAAGACATACTTCAAAAAAAAAAAAAAAAGACATACTTCACAGAGAAGAAAAATACAAAGATCTTAGGAGGAAAGGAACATTAACTTAAGAGTCAAAAATTTGACACACTTGCAACACTTACCTCTAATAGTACCAAAGGAATGTGCTGTAGAAGGTGACTTAACAATCAAATAAACTTGTAGGAAACCAAAAATTTAAGAACGCTATCCAGTAATTTACCAATCTAGTCCAAGTGGAACAGGGATATAGGATGAAAGCCTTCAAATCCCTTCTTAAGGCCCCCTCACTGTCATAGTGGATATTCTAAGAAATAAATTAACCTGTCTGCTTTGCCACAACAAACATTAAGACCAAACCCTCCCTGAGATGAAGTCCTAGTCTCTATTCTAGTTCTCCTGTCACCTTTTTGCTATAATAAAGGGACAAACGGTACCAACATTCTGCAGAGTAAATACGCACACACCACACCCCCAATCTCTAACTTTCATTTCCAATAGGACAGGAAGTGCCTGCTAAACTCAAGGGACACAGGAAGGGTGGGAACAGCCTCCATGTGGGAATTGCAACTGAGACTGGAAGCACAGCAGCCAAATGCACTCAATAAATCAATAAAGGCATCTCCCACAGACACCATATTTTTTTAAGTCCCTTTCCTGCCCTCAGAGGTTCTCATTCACTCTATGCCAAGTTATCACCGCTGTTTAGGTCCTTCTTCCTTAGTGTAGCAATGTGGCACAAAACCTTAGTCTTTAAGACCTGATTTATAATGGGGCTTATCTTTCAGAGGTTAAGATGCTGCATCCCCAATGCAGGGGCCCTGGGTTCAATCCCTGGTCAGGGAACTAATTACTATAGACAGTTGAAGTGAAGTGGGGTCCGAAAAGAGTCGGACATGACTGAGTGACCCGCACTTCACTTCACTTCAGCTCTATATAGTAATTAGTGCACAATCCTCACGCTGCAACTAAAAAGATTCTGTGTGCGACAACTAAGACCCAGCAGAGATAAATAAATATAATGAGGTTTGTAATAGCGCTCAACCTAATTTCTGAAAAACCCTAATATTCTCAATGTGCTGTGTTCTCCTACTGCATGCCTTAATGCTCAACAGTATCTTAGAATTTAAGATAGTTAAAACCATAAGTTTTAGAGAAAAGCAGACATGCATTCAGATCCTGACACCACTGTTAGTTACTGTTATTTATCTCTAGGCCAAGTTACTTAACATCTCTGATGCACTCATTTCCAAAATGGAGATAACAGCTCCTTCAATAGACTTTAGGGTCAAATCTAAGTTCTGGTTCAGTCCTCTCATTCACAGGCTGGTGACACTGGCAGAATTACCTCACATGTCTGAACCTCATTTAGCTCATCTGTAAAATACAGTAAATAAACAGTCTCTACTTCCTAAACCTGTAATGAAGTGAAACAAGGCAATGCATATAGCGCCCTTAGAAAGGTACGAGGCACACTTGGTGAAAAGCCAGCAGATGCAAGCTCCGTTTAGAGTAATCACTCTGTCTCCCAGTGCGTATCCCTCTGGGCATCATATAACCCAGATTTATGATCTGACGTGAACATTTCCAAAAACCAGTATTTTAGTTACATTCAAAAGATCATACTAGGACTAGATAGGCCGAACTATATACGTGGAAATACTGAATAAGAAATTTCAGGAATCATCCATCCCAATTTCTTTTCTCTATCTTCCAGAAGCAAACAATCTGATCATTTGAAACTTCTTCTCATAACTCCAATCTCCCGAAATTGGTGGAATCTCTCTTATCTCTAGGGGGAAAAAAAGAAACAAAATAATACAGAAACAAAGCACATTAGACAAGACATCCCGGCTCCCGTTTCTCTAATGTCCTGCTACTTTAAGAAACTGAAGTAGATTTTTTAAAAAGGAAGATCTTCATATACCCTAAAATTTAACACCTTTTTGCCATTCTAAAAGTAGACAGTATCAGAAGGAAGATAAAGAAGGATCCAATTAAATAAGTTCTATTTTATATATATATATATGTTTTCATTGTTAGGCTGTGTTGGGTCCTGCTTGCCACCTGCAGGACTTGTTGTTGGGCCCATGGACTTGCTGCCTGTGGCTCAAGAGCTTAGTTGCTCACAGTGTGTGGGCTCTCGTTCCCAGGCAGGGATGGAACCCAGGCCCCTGCATTGAGACTGCAGAGTCTCAGCCACTGGACTACCAGGGAAGTCCCCGGCAAGTGTATTTTTAAAGTAGGCAGGGACTCCCCTGATGGTCCAGGGGCTGACACTTTGTGTTCCCAATGCAGGGGGCCCGGGTTTGACCACTGGCCAGGGAATGAGAATCCACTCACCGCAACTAAGACCCAGTGCAGCTAAATAAATAAATAAATATCTTTAAAATAAATAAAGCAAGGAAAGTTATAGAATCTTATGGAAGTGACAGAGGTGATGGAGTTCTGTGGTTAGATTCAGAAAGTGTATGAGAAGAGGAAGAATCCTGTTTCTTCCGATGTGTTTACTTTGATACCCACTCCCCCCATCTGCTTTGCCAATTATGACTGCTTACATTTTTCTAGATTTAGTCGATGCCTCTCAAATTCTTGGTTCTTTTGGGCCCAGCATCCAAGAGTTTTTCTGAGGGGAAAAAGTAAAATAGTTATTTGGAACATCTCTCAGAAAGAGATACCTACACTTCAGATTCTATATAGACTAGTATGTGATTTCTCCAGAAAAATTGTAACAGGGAAGAACAAACCTGACTCCATACTGGATCTGTCTTTAGGTTAACCTTTGTATTCTGTTGCTTTTGCTGCAAGTTAAGAATGCTGCCTACAGCCTGAAATATAAAGAACGGCCCATTTCCAAGGTTCTGACTTTTAAGGCGTAACACTTTTCCATCACGCAGAGATTTAAAAGGCTACAGAACGGAAAAACATTCGTCATGTTGCAGGTACACACGTAGAGATTTAAAAGGCTACAGAACGGAAAAACATTCCTCATGTTGGAGGTACACAGAAACAATATAACCTGACCTACGAGGACAGATGCAAGAACAAAGGATTCTGACCCCAAGAAGTTTGTAACAACCAACCACATCCCTTCTCCCCTTCTAGTATAAAAGAAGCCTAAATTCTAACTTGGGTAAGACAGTTCTTTGGAACAATAGTCCACCATCTTCTCAGTCCGCTGGCTTTCCAAATAAAGTCACTATTCCCTGCCTCAACAACTTGTCTCTCGATTTATTGGCCTGTCCTGTGACAAGCAGTACAAGCATGAACTCAGTAACAAAACAACAGCTTTAAGTGTCTCATGTAGAGCAGTCAGAGGTCTTGGGATTTCTCTGGTGGTCTGCACTTCCACTGCAGGGGGCTTGGGTTTTACCCTGGTTGGGGAACTAAAAAAAATTCTCTCTGGGTTATCTTTCCTCTCACTGATAAACTTCTGCATCCAAAAGTCTAAGTAATGACAAAACCAAAAGACCCAAAAGTTCAATTTATTTAATGATAAAGAGATGAATAATGCCTCAAGAAGTGGGGGGGGGGGAGTTTAACACATCAGCTTACTCAAGCAGGAATATTTAATAATCTGCATCAAACAACTAGAAAAACTTAGCCCTGTCCCCTTCAGATGTAGGATGCAAAGACAAAATGACAAAACTGGTCTAAAACTAAAAATTGAGAAAGTTCGCCCTTTCAACTCCTTGACATAACTCATAGAAAAGGGAGGGAAAAGACAGGCAACTCTGAAGAATTATTTAACTCATACCCTGGATATCAGTGCTTATAGTATATTCTCCTCTTCCATAATAAGATACTTCTGGCCAAAACTTATTACAGAGAAAACCCTAACAAAACTTTCAAGTAACTTTTCCTTTGCCAGACACTAAAGAAATACAGCAATCAAATTATCTAGCATTCATGGAGCAGAAAATTAGCATAATATAGAAAGAAAAGACTAGACTGGATTCTATGGATACCCAGAATGGACTGCATTGATAGGTAATATTATAGTCTCCAAATGCATGTTTCCTTCACCCTTGAGACATTAATTTTGCTTAGCTTCAGCTTTCCCTAAAATAAATAACTCAGATAATCACAATAAAAGCCCACAACTGAATTCAACAATTAGACTGAACCAAATGAAATGGCTGGTTATGTACGTTAAACATAGAATCTTTTCAAATAGTCAAATACTGGTAATTTCATGTGATTAAATCCAACACTGCAAAAAGTGTAAGGTAGTAAGGATGATAATGAGTCAGAACATTGGTGAATTGGATACCTCCTTTCCTTTGAACTGTCTCATTTTCAGATAGGAAAAAAAAACCTAGAGAGGTAAACTCACTTCCATAAGGTCCTGGGAGTCAAATAATATCTGACATCAGAATCCAGACTTCCTGTCTTAATTCAGCATTGTTCCCGTATCAGTGTGATTTGATTGTAAAAATTCTGATAAATATATATTTAGGGGTCATAATTAATAAAGGAATAATCCTGATTCCAGAGGTGGAAGTTCAACTGTTTCCCTCAAATCAACTCCATCTCAAGTAGCAGAGATATCTAATATTTCAGTCTGTTCCTAAATTGCACAATGGAGGATATTTCTAGGGATAAACCTATAATGAAAACCAGAAGATTTATAGAAAACTACAGTTGTTGGGAAGTGCTGCTCATTAAATATTCAAGATTTTACCTGAAGTTTGATTCATTATATATTTAGAAGGTAATTTGTTTGAATTCTGCTTTCCTCTCAGGGATAATTTGTACCATAACCTGAAGCTCTCAGATGAAACACAAGAAGATGTGAACATAAGAAGTGGCTTCTAAAACATCCATATACATTATTTAAGAGGTTACTAGTCACTAGGAGGTTTTGCCAGAATCACAGACTTGATGAGGACAGGGACTGTGACTGTTTTGTGTACCCTATTATACCCCCGGTATTTAACAGTATCTGACTAAATTAACATTTAAAAATATTTGTCAGCAGTGACAACCTCCCCATGAGAGCTTGCTTCTTGAAAAGGATCTCCTTCATCCCTTTCTAGAAGAAAAGAGGAGAAAGGAAACTCTGTCTAGAGTGGAACCCTAATTTCTCCTTCGTGGATGTAAAATGCCCAGATGCTATAAAGCCAACACTCTCTCGAGTCACGCACAAACGCGAGGTTTCTGTGCTGGCTGCTCCCCTGTCCTCTGGCAGTCTACAGGAGAAAAGGCGGGGCTTACAGAAACGGCTCCTGTAGAAAGAAGCAGCAGTAAAAACACCCTGGGACCTTCCCGGTGGGTCCAGGGGTTAAGAAACCTCCTGCCAATGCAGGGAACACAGGTTCGATGCCTGGCCCGGGGAGATCCAACACGCCACGTGACAGCTAAGCCAGCGCACCTCAACTCCTGAGACTGTGCCCAAGAGCCGGTTACCGAACCCGCTCAGCCTGCAGCCCACGCTCTGCAGCAGAGAAGCCCTCACACTCAGCTGCAGGGACCCTGCTCACAGAAACTAGAGAGAGGCCTCTCGTGGAGCAGTGAAGACTCAGCATAGCCAACAACAAAAAACTAGTTAATTTCAAAAAATAAAAGCACCCTAAAGCAGGATAAATGAGAAACCATTTCAACACACACATTTCGGATACACATGTGAAAACACACACACCACTTAAAAAAAAAATTTGGTTATTGAACAAATGGAATAAACTTCAACACTAAATTTACATCTGAAAAGATGTTAAAAATACTGAATGTAGTGTTGACAGTGACGGAATGGCACATTAGGACATTTAGGAGCTTTTTCCTTTACATTTACAATGCATATGATTTTCCTTTTGTGGGTTTTTGTGTGTGTGTGTTGGGGGGGGTTGTCATTAGGAGATCAGAAAGCTAGAATTTACCTGTGCCTCTCATCTGTGTACTAGATAAACTATACCCCCATCATCACATAAAAGACACCACCCAAAAGGCCCACTATAAATTCGTATTCCCATAGCATTTTATACACAATATTGTAGGCTTTTAACTCTACTTACTGCCCCAACTCTTGTACTTACATGGTGACTTCTTAGGAAGCAGACACCAACTTTATTCATCCTTTTATCTTTAACGCCTAAACATAACTTATGCTCAAGAATACCAGCTGGAAGAATACAATTCTCCATTCTCAATTTCTTTTAAGTGTCTCCAGTGTGAAAGAGAATCTCAATGAACATTAAGAGAGCACTGCCACCTCCTGGGTAATACAGGTCGTGCATTCTTTAGCAAATACCAGGAAGAGAAAGACAGAATTTGTATATAGGTAGATCAGAAATTTGAAATTTAAACCCAGCTCTATCATTTGCTGTGTTAAAACTGGAAAATCTCAATCAGTTTCCCCTCCTACAAAATGAGCATAGCCCCTGTCCTATTTCTCAGGAATAATCACGACAGTCAAATTATAAAGACTGTAAAAGTACTTTGTTGATTATAAAACATTTTCCAAGTATGAGACCATAGTTGATTATTTACTCTGCCATGTTGAGGATAATAAATCCATCTTTTTTTAATTGAATATTTTATTAACATAATAGTTGTTTTAACAAATCCATCTTACTTCTTACCACAAATCTAACTAAATAACCTGCAGGTTGAGGATCAGAGCCAATCATTAAATTTTAGATGTCTAATGGCAAATTTCTTTCTTTATATGTTAACGTAGACTGTCATTAACTTATTAAAATATGTTGTTGAGCATAAAATTAAAATTACTTGGAGATACCACTTCTCACCCACCAGACTGGCAAAAATCCAGAAGCCTGACAACAGACTGTGGCAGAGTGTGTGGTGGAAAGGCTGTCACATATTGTGTGGAAATGTAAAATAGCATTGTCTCCTTTTGCACTGTTAAGCAAAAGGACATATACTTGTACCCTCTGTCAACTTAAAAATAGTCACAACTTAAAAATTGAGTAATGTTTCATCTGGAGGGAATTGTTAGGACTTCAAGCCCAGGAGACAGCCATTTCAAGTGACTGACAGAACTGCTCAGAGGTGGCGGAGGAAGGAGTCAGGGTTATACGGAAGTTTGCAATAACGGGCAAGTAGTCTGAATATCAAAAGATTATTGTTAATTAAGAAAAACTAGGTTTCTCAAGTTAAGGAATTTATTGCTTTTCTATTTTAGGGAAGATGCAGGAGTCCGTGGGAGGGGGGATCAGGATGGGGAATACATGTAAATCCATGTCTGATTCATGTCAATGTATGGCAAAAATCACTACAATATTGTAAAGTAATTAGCCTTCAACTAATAAAAATAAATGGAAAAAAAAAATGCAGGAGTCTGGGCTTGCTGAAGTAATTTCTTTCATATGCATCTCAGCTATTTGGGGCCAGTATTCCGAGTATTTCACATCTTTGAAAAGGCAACATCAAAATCATAGAATTGACATGTGTTATAAACCATCTCTAAAACTAAGCATAATAGAATTCTATTTCCTGATTTTATTTCAGGAGAAGCAATGTTCAGGAATCTACTATGTGAATCGTGCATAAATGACTGTTGCTAACTTTCGGTCAGACACTAAGGATTGCAGCAAGCTAGTCCTAGCCAAGATATACAACAAACCTAGTGAGCATTAGAAGTCCTGTAAGGTCCCAGGTAATTTTCTT